TGTGTGTGTGTGTGTGTGTGTGTGTTTAGGGTGTGAACTGCAGGACTTTGCATGACGTGTTTGTAGGAATATTTTAGTCAATATTAGTTTATATACAAAACAGAATAAAATAAAACAAATTAAAAGTAAAGRCGGAGCAGCCATGATGGAAAGACTGAAGGAAGAAAAGCATGCTGGATGATAAAGAAGACCCCCATGGGCTGTGTCTCAGTTCAGGGGCTGCATCCTCATAAGTGCCAAGTTACCAAGTCGGCAGAGTTTGGAAATTCATCAGAAATGTAAGTTTATCAATTTATCTGTTGAAATTTATGATGCAATAAGATYCTAATTGAAATGTAACAACAAGTACTGATGCTGGAGCTAAACCCAAATTATTAATATTTATTTACGTGTACTGTTTTAACGGTGAAGTTACTCCTCCAGTGAAAAGGCACGTTATTTAAATAGTTTCACTTTGGTCATGGTGTAGCATGTGGTGATGTAATCATACTTCGTCCAGAGACTAGACCACCTCTTTTCACAGCTGTTTTATTCAGCCTACCTGGACTGCGTAGTCTGTGGCCTATGTAGGCTTTGGTCTAGGGCGGGTGTCCTGCATGTTTTAGGTGCTGCTCTGGTTCAACACAGCTGAAGGCCTAGTTAGTAGGCCTCTTCAGTGTGTCAGCAAGGTCTGCAGAAGCCCACTAATTAAGCTCTCCTTAGGTTCAGCTATGCTGAACCAGAGCAGGACTTTGGACACCACTGGTCAGATAGTCTTCAGCCCCTGAACGGAGACCCAGCCGTTGGCTTCCTGTGAGCTTCAGCAGCTTATATGTAGGTTGGTCACAGGAGGCCAGGAGGAAAAAACTGCACGTTTGTATTTTCACAGGAACCTGGAGCACGATTTGTTTTCCTAAACTAGACCAAGAGGCAGTGAATCAGAACATGGTCCGGACCTTTTGTTGGAGTCCCTCTCTGAGCTGCAGAGACCATCAGACCTGAGGAACTGACCACAAACTGAGACCAGAGTGCTCCTCATCATCTCAAACTCTTCTTCTCCTGTTTTCAGCTTCACTGTGACGCCTCAGGGTTCTCATCTCTTCACAAACATGACTCACTCCAGGGAGTTGTAGTCTTTAACATCAAAGATCTGTAGTTCTTGTAGCAAACAAGTAAAGAAGCAGAGAGAGGAGCAGAGAGAGCATTTAGTCAGCTGCAGCGTTGCTCTGATCTTCCTCCTCGTCTCCATGGAATCTGACAGAATGAATCCACTCAGAGCTTCAGATCATCTGGAAACAGCTGGAACATCTGTTGCCTCTTTTCATCTTCTCACATCAGAAGCTTTTATTTCCTTCCTACAGGTGAAGATCTGCACAAACAGGAAGTTGTTTTATCGGATCAATCATGAATTCTGGTTCTGTTAAAGTTCCTGATGTTCATTTATCACAACCATCCCCTTTTTAAGAACACGGTTCCTGTGTTCAGGTAGGTCAGAACTGAGGTGTCATCACATGACGTCCTCATGTCCCAGCTGCCAGCAGAAAGGTAACCTGACAACATGGTCACATGACCAACCTGTGGTTAAACTGGTCACATGACCAARCTGTGGTTAAACTGGRCACATYACCAARCTGTGGTTAAACTGGTCACATGACCAATCTGTGGTTACAAACTGGTCACATGACCAACCTGTGGTTACAAACTGGTCACATGACCAAACTGGTCACATGACCAATCTGTGGTTACAAACTGGTCACATGACCAACCTGTGGTTACAAACTGGTCACATGACCAATC